CCACCACCCGTCGTGGCGACCGGCCCGCCGCCACGCTACGGCCCGGCGGCGCCGGCCCGCGCCAGCCCCACCCGAGCGAGAGGGCCTGAGTCCCCGCCGCCGCCGGCGACGGCTAGGCTTAGCCTGGCCGCGCCCTTGGGCGGCGGCGAGGGAGGAGGAGGAGGAGTGGGGGAGGTTCGGCGGCGATGGGATCTGGGACCTCCCGGTCGCCCACACAGGGGGCGGCTCGGGAGGGAGACGTACGGGCTTTATGAAGAAGTAGAAGTGCAAGGGAATTAAAAAGCGTATCAACGGAGGGAGTAATACGTAGGCCAGGTATTTATTGATGTGACCAGGTCTTTCGTACTAATTTTTTTTGTGTGTGTGAACACAGGACTTTGATAGGTGCTGTAGCTTTCAGCGTTGGCACGAATCAGAAAAAGAAACAAAAGCGAACTTTTAGAGAAGATAAATTGGACCAACAGTACTGAAAGAGTAGTGTTTATCGAGTGTCATGGTCTGAATTAATAATCTTGATTATCTTCTTCGCTGAGGCGAGGCATACGGTCTTTTTATGAGGTGAAGCAAGGCATACATACCCATTAACTGTTTTCTAACACTATGGTGGTACGTAGCAAGAAATAATATTTGGTCGAGAGGCGGCAATGAATATAGTCTTGCTTTTCTTCTTTGCTGAGGCAAGGCATATCATGAATTCTGTGTGAATTGATGCTCTTCTTCTGAGGTGAAGCAAGTCGTATGTCCTCTGGATCTGGTACCGGTAGCTTTGCTTCTTTTTACCTTTCTTTTGGTGTGTGGTGCACTTTGTGGGGCTGTAGATTCCTTCTTCTTCTTCCACACTAAATTTCATCATACCAATACAGCTACACATTATCTCGCTAAAGCCTAAAGAAAAACAAAATATTATACCCTATGTTTTTTCTTTCTATTTTTGCTTGCTTTCAGACCAGAACGGTCAGATAATTTTGTTTACAAAACCATCCATAATGACACTAGGGAGTAGGGAATAGAGATATGAATCCTTGACGCCACTAGCTTAATATTCTCTCTACTTCTGGAATTGTGGTAACCTCTGCCATTAGCCATTAAATGTTTTCTAACACTATGGTGGTACTCCCTCTGTAAACTAATATAAGAGCGTTTAGATCGCTACTATTTTAGTGATCTAAACACTCTTATATTAGTTTAAGGGAGTATATAGCAAGAATGTTATTTAGCGTTACTCAGTAATTACAATTTAGCGGGACTAGTTTGGTGCTTCAGAGCACAAATACCCACAGGGGAGTTTTCATTAAAAGCAACTGTCGAATGCGGAGTCGGTTTTTGCCGATGATAGAAGTGCTTGCTGCTAGAGCGCTCCAGTAGGAAGATGCTACCTTGCTATCTGACAGTCAAGTAGTACATGTTCAGGCTTCCTATCTGACAGTCAGGTACCTTATTCAGGCTTCCTATTCGACCGGCGCTAGCCAGCCGAGCCCCTCGATCTGTTTGCTGCAAGAAGATAGAAGGCTATGAAGAAGATGAAACCTTGCGAATTGCCCAATAAAAAGGAGGGGAAAAAACATTCCTCCAAAGTGTATGACACCTGATTCTCCCTCATCCTCTCTCGTTGCCAGTCCCCCGGCCGGCCGGCCGGCTGGCCACTCCGCCGCGGCACTATGTGGATCGTACGGCTATGGAGCGACGGAGGATGGACGGAATCGCCGGCGTTCTCCCGGATTGGGGATCGGCTCGCTCGGCCGTCGTCGGATCTCGCTTGGGCTTGGGCCAGGGACAGGCCTCGTGGTACGGCAAATAAAAAAAAGGGTTTTCTCTTTCGATGTTTGATTCTCACAACGAAATGTCTCTTAAATTGAGCGTCCAATTTATGAACCATTTCACTGTTATGATACTCGCATCAATTATTTTACGGAAACACTAATGCCCACACATGTGGGCGTTCTTCAACTCGCCCACACGTTTGGATGGTCGTTGATTGTCTTTTGCACGAATCTTGACACGAAAAGGTGAATTTGGTGTGCCACGTAGGACGGGGCTGGTGTATGTGCGTTGGAGAGTTTGGCCACACGCCCCGTATCACGCTGTTGCCAGCTGCACTGTGTGGGCGAACTAGTTTTTGCCCACACAGCCA